TCATCTGGAAGTTACGGCGTGATAGAAATGAATCATGTGTCCTGATACCTCTATGTTCTCGAAATGCCTGCTGCTGCCTTAATCACCAAATAAAACAAACAGAAAGGAAGCCTCAAACATTTTTTACTGCCATTTTTTTTTCCTGTCGGGGGGGTTTACAATGATGTACATAACACCCAACCAAGAGCCTATGAAAGAAAGTCAGAGCAAAATTAGCACAATAGGCTCCAGCTAAGAACATCAACACACACCGCACAGGGCTGGGCTTGTTCACTCTGCACCGGGCCTGCACACAGGGGCGTCAGCAAGTATGCAGGGAGCTGAAGTCCTCCAGGCTGGCTACAACCTTCACGGCCTGGACCAGCCTTTCCTTCCAGACCTACAGACCTGACATCCAGAGAGACGAAACAACAAAACGAGGTCTGGCTCTCCTGTTCCCCGTATTCCTCTCCACACAAGAGCACTTGGCTGAGGACGCAGAGCTTACAAATCCTCATCATCATCGCTGCTTTGCCCTACACAGGCCCCACAGGATATGTTCTTTCTCCTTGATGCTCGTTTTCGAGAACGCCTCCCTAAGTTGCCTAAAAGCTCTTTGAGGGTAGGGTAATGCTATGTATCCTCTTCTTTATCTTTCACCTGTTTACAACACAGTCAACAGATACTGATGGGAGGGTGACGGAAGGGTCTCGGTCATGCGTCCACATTGGCCAACTACCCCTGGGGGAACCAGAAGAAGTAACCAGCCTCCGAATGGCTAAACCTGCTTCTGCAAAAGGGCACGTACAGGCTTCTTGTCTGTTGTGCTGTAACTCTCCCTCCTGCCTGAACCATTTTTTCTGTGCTGAGACTAAGGATAAGGGTCAAAGAATAATGAAACTGTTTTGTTTATGTTTCAGAACCAGCATTCAGTCTATCGAGAACCCCAAGAATCAGCTACTCTTGCCTGACACTCTTGATTCTTATTAACAAAAGGCACCACCCATCCTCCCTCCCTCAATGAAAATGCACAGGGTTATGGAAACAGAACTTCCCAGCTGATAGGAGATAATGTAATTTTAATTAATGTTGATGAACTACTCATTTAATATTGGGTTAATGGAAGAGGCTAACATGAAACAGTTTCTACTTAGTGTTCACTTCCATCAAGAAATGGAGTGGTCTGTATTTTACAATACTGCCAAGTTATAGAAACTTGCTTTCTTTGGGCAAATCTGCACTTTCTGTCCCGACCCCTTGGGCAAATCAAAAGGAGCAGCTTCCACTGACTGACTGTCATGAGAAGGCGTTAGGAGCCCAGACTCTAGTAAATGATGCCTGAATCTGAATCCCTGCCTGCCCCTGACTGGCTGTGTGATCATGAAGCCTCGGCTTTCACAACTGTAAAATGGGACTAATGATAACCTACGTCGAGATGGCGTTGTGAGGATTAGGGAGTTAATGCCTGTAACATGTTGCAGGCACACAGGGAGCACTCCAGAAGTTTTAGCACTTCTCATTAGCACTGTGTACCCCGTACTGTGCAGGGGGCTTACACACAGCTGCATTCGGTCCCTGCAATGACCCTGGGCAGAAGTTCCTGTGTTATCACCCTCATTTTACAGAGGAAGAAAGTGAGGGAGGCTAAGGGAGGTTCAGTAACTACTGTAAGGACAGAAAGTAGAAGTGGCTAGAATCAAAGCCAGGCCTGTCTGATTCTCAGCTGTGCACTTCCTGCCCCACCATACCACTTCCTGGATGACCACACGCACACACGCGCACACACTCAGACCACAAGACTATATCACATCAGAATGAGAAAGACGCTTATGACTGGAACACAGACTGTGAACCACATCATCTAGGGATTCCAAACGTCTCTCACTCAAACTGTTTCCTTTTTGAGTTCAAGGACCATGTTTTTGCATCGCCCCTAAAGAAAACAGTACATAAATCTAGACACATAATAAGCACTCAATTAATACTCACTGGCTTTACATGGAAATTCAAAGAAGACAGTGGAACTGCGTCCTGGTTCAGAATACGTAATCCAGAAATCCAAATAAACCACGAATTACTTAGAGCTTTGAAAACCTTGCCTAACACAGCACATGTTTTCTGGAGACAACGAGAGTTGTGACGCAAGGCTAAACATTTCTAATCTCATCAAAAATACCATGTGAGTGAAAACAACTCGTATCAGGCCTTCAGGTGGGATTAGGCGATGGGCCTCCCATGTTGCCGCTATAAAACCTGCAAAACGAGAGGCTTTTTAAACTGATACCGTCTCGGGATTGTGTTTCTTTTGTCCTTGTCTTTCCCAAGTGTCATGGAGCACGCTGCATTATGCTACTATTCTGGTGAGGAGATCTGGGTGTCACCAAACATTCGCAGCCCGTTTCCCCAGCTGAGGATGAGGGGGGAGTGAGGGCCAGCAGCCTCACTACCCGGCATCTGTGTAGGGAGGTTTCCAAGTAGGCAGCTGGGGGATGAGAGCCCAAGGCTCAGAGCAAAGAGGGATGGGAATGAATGGAAAGAAGCTGTACACAATCTGATTCATTTCTCATAACTTTGAGCCAAAATTTTATTGCAATACTATATTTGGTGATTGTGAATATGGTAGAGCTGAAACATTCATTTTATCTCTTCTGGTTTCGAGGTGAGCAGTGCAGTAGAGAGGCCGGGCTGAGCCTGGGGGCTGGGGATGATATTAAAGATCGTGATGGCAAAAGCAGACTCCTGTGGACTCAGAGTCACATCAGGACACAGCTCTCAGCCTGGGCCTGCCAGACAGATTGAATCAGTGCTCACATGAAGAGACTCGCTTGCAGTCTGGAGAAGAAGAACAGAGTCTAAGGTTTAGGAAGCCTGCGTTTAGCTTCCACTTCTGCTCCTTGGTAGAGCTTTATGATGTTTGACAAGTTACTTAGCCTTGTTGAGCCTTACGGTCCTCATCTGTAAAAATGGAATAACAATGATACGCACCTCAAAGGGTGTGGAGGAGATGACATGAGATCATGCATACAAAAGTACTTAGCCTGGTACTGTGTGCCCTAAAAGGATGAGGAAGCACTCAATGAACGCTGGCCACCACTGCTGATATTTTCATTATTGCTAATGAGAATACCTCGTAAATGTATTATTGTCAAGTGTCCTGCATTTTCACATACATTAATTACTCAAATTAAAAATATAATATTTTAATAATTAAAAATTTAAAGATTTTTTTTTTTTTTTTTTTTTTGGTGAGGAAGATCAGCCCTGAGCTAACATCCATGCCAATCCTCCTCTTTTTGCTGAGGAAGACTAGCCCTGGGCTAACATCTGTGCCCATCTTCCTCCACTTTATGTGGGACGCTGCCACCGCATGCCCTGACAAGCGGTGTGTCGGTGCGCGCTGGGGATCCGAACCCCGGGCCGCCAGCAGTGGAGCATGCGCACTTAACCACTACGCCATGGGGCCGGCCCCCCAAAATTTAAAGAATTTTAATTAATAATTAATACATTTTTAATAAATATAAATATTAATAATTTAAAAAAGAGCTTCTTAGTATATTTTGTGGCTGATTTCCAAAATAACCTAAGAGGACAGCGGGACAGAAATTACTACCTTCATGTTGCAGGTGAGAAAGTGGAGGCTCAGAGAGGTGGAGGGGATAGCTGAAATTCATTAGCCTGAGCAGGGCCAGCCAGGAATGTGGCTCAGGTCTCTGCCTCCAGCGCTCTATCCACAGCTCCCCACGAGTAAACCAAGAGGCAAAACATCCCAGGGGAAAGAACTAGAGGCCAGCCTGCCCATGAAAGAGGGCAAGAGGATTCTATTCCAGTCTGGTCTCTTCACTTACTTGTTGCTTGGAACCACATGGATTTTGCAACCCTTGTATGTTGGGGCCTAAGGTTTGAAAAGCACTGTTGTGGTGCGCCATGTTTCCCAATGCCAAGGGAAGGGCCTGCTACTTCAGAATAAGCTGGGAGTTATTGGTCCTGTTGTTTGTTCAAATTTTTATTACAGAAAATTTTCAAACATATGGAAAGTAGAGAGAAGAGAATGAGGAACCCCCAGTGCCAATCTTCCAGCTTCAACAACCCTCACTCCATGCCAACCCTGTTTCGTCTACACCTCTGGCCGTTTCCCCTGCTCCCTGTCTTTTTTTAAGGAAAAACTTGAGGAATTAACAACTGATACAGACTCCCCCTGTGCCCCACAGATGCGGGTCTAAGCGGGTCTGGAGTGGCTGGGGATTTGTTGTTCTCATGGCTGTCCCCCACCCCACAGGCGACGTGGAAGGACAGAGCCCCCTGAAGCCGCTGAACTGGGTGACCTCTGAGGGCTCCACGTAGAGGAATCTGTAAGTGACCACCAGGCAGTGAGTTCTGTGAAGGAAAGTGGGCAAACCCTTCAGCTGTGCAGGAGAACGAGAGGCTGTCACAGCGGCGGGAGCAGAAGGGAATGAGACGGGGGGAAGGAGGCTAGTTCTGGGGCCTGAGTGAAGGCTTCCTGAGAGAGGACATTCGTGTTGCCACAGCACTCTACTGCTGGGCCTGTCACCCTGCAGCCTAATGATCTGTAGTTACCTACCAGTCACCTCTGTCGGCCTGTGCCCTCCTCCTGGGCAGGAAGCCTCTCACTCATCTTTATTCCCCAGAGCCTAGTGCTGTAACGGCCAGCTTCGGCGAATTGTGTGAAATTGATAACATTTGGCTGGTCTTTACTTTCAAAATATCAACTTTATGACTCCACCTCACATACAGTAGGTATTCAGTAAAGGTCCAGTGAAGGAACAAGCACAGACAGGGTTGTAACAGCTCTGACATGCCAGCTACCGAGCTAGCATTTCTGGTCAACTCAACAACAGTGCAAGGTAGCTACGGGAGCCCCACTTTCAGATGAGGGAACTGAGGTAATGTACTTGGAAGTACTTAGCACAGTGAGGATGAAGTGCTTTCCTCTATACTGAGAGAGGACAAGCAAGGGTCAGACTGGCAGACTGCACGGAACGGGGAGGACGGCCCCTGCTTACCTCTTGGCCCTGTCTTTCTCATCTTCATCCATGAGATTTTCTCTGCAGTTTGTCCTGCAAAAAAGAACAGATGATTACCATCTGCTTCTACCTTTTTTCTTACAGGTCTTTCTAGTTGTTATCATTTTGGTCTTATCTAATCCACATGCCTTAGCCCAGAGGTTCTCAAACGTCTTGGTTCCAGCAACCCTTTACATGCTCAAACATCACTGAGAACTCTGAAGAGCTCTTGTGTATGTGGGTTAAAACTGAGAAATTTTAAACACACAAGCACTCATTCCATTACATGCCAGAGTGATGAGGTCATCAGATGTCAAGGAGCTTCTGGAAAAGTCCACTGTACACTCATGAGAGTGAAAAAGGCAAATAACGTGTTAATATTAGGAAAATTGTTTAGACCTCATGGGAAGCACCCCCCCAGGGTTCCCCAGATCATACTTTGAGAACTGTTGTCTAGACTCAGCTCAATGAAGCATCTGGTTATCTCAAGCCTTAAACCTGTAAGCTGCCCAAGATATTCTAAACGAGAGCATTTATTTGTTTATCTGTTCATTCAAATATACAAATTCCTCTTACACGCAGCCTGGAGGACTCGGGGTCCCAAAGGAGTATAATCATCTGTCCTTCTTTTAAGGCACTTACACTTCCCTAGATAGTCAAGGCACATAGATGTGAAAAATTAAGTCACAATCCAGGAATGTTCTAGCAGCCTGAAGTCATCAGAGACTACCTCACCGCCTGGAGCCTTTACGCTCCCAGGCCACTTGCTCGATGCCTCTCGGGCCCACAGACCCACCTTCACCTTCCACCACAGGCAGGCCTGTGATCCTTCACCCCTCAGAGCCACAGATCCCTCCCTTCATTCACACATTTCCCCGAGTCCCCTAGTCTGGAGCGCTTCCCCCTCCAGCCAGCACTCCAAGCAGAAACACTTTCAGAGTGTCCGCGAGGCCAGAGCCCATTGAGGGCACTGGAGGCAGAAGGCTGCAGTGGCTGAGAGGGCAGAGTGTGACTGAGATAGGGGTGGGCACCACAGAGAAGCTGAATTGCCAGTGCCCACAGGCTTCTGTTCTCAAAACAGAGGGTCTGAAGTCAGAACTCCAAAACCAACACTTTGCAAATGCACTAACATTTACTCTCAAAATTTAAAGTTTTAGATAAAATTTTTTAATGGGGCAAATCAATCTTTCTCTGAGATAATGTAGTTTTGTGATTTGAGTTTGCTGTGAGCACAGGCACGGGTCTGTGCCAAAAGAGGAAGAGGAATTCTGCAGCCACAGCCTCTGTTTACACACATGCCCCATGTGGTAAATAGCAGGCATACTTTAGTGATAGATTTGCAAGAAACGCCATTCAACAGTTGAGGCTTGTATCATAATTAAAATGGGGTTAACACATCTGCAAACAGGCATGTGCTTAATGTTTTCCAGATGGAATCTGTTCAAAGCTTTAAGCCGTGAAAAATGGAGGGTCAATTCGTTTAATGAGGCACTACCCCAGGTCTGTGCTCCAAGGAACTGGGTGGCTGCCTATGTGCCCAGGGCATGAGTGAGGACTCGGCCAAGCCACGCCCTTTACCAGGTGCCCCTGGACACAGCACGTTCATGGAAGGGGTGTGGGCTTCAGTCCACTTTCCTGAGGTCCTGGAATCCTGTTTGGACGGCTGGGGTTGCTTAGTCACAAACGAAACATCTACAAATTACTAATAGCTACTCTTTATTGACCACATCTTCTCTGATTTATATCTGTTTATCCTTAAACGTTTCCTGAATCCATGAATCCTTGATAATCTACACTTACTTCATTGTCTTCTCCATCCCTCGCATTTTCTTGCCCTGATTCCTGTCACTTGACACCTGTCAAAGCCACTCTGCTCAACTGCACCTGCGTGAAGAGAAGGCACTTAAGCCGAGTTCCCTGGTAATACCTGCCACAGAAGCTCCATGCCAAAGTCCTTACTGTTTTGTCACACCCGTTGTCTCCTATACCTTCCTATTTTTTTTTAATTAAAAAAATTGTGGTGAAATACGCATAACATAAAATTTACCATTTTTAAGTCTACAGTTCACTGGCATTAGTACATTCATATTGTTGTGCAACCATCACCACCATCCATCTCCAGAACTCTTTTTATCTTGCAGAACTGAACTCTGTACTCATTAAACAATAGCTCCCCATTCACTCCTTCCCCCAGCCCCTGGCAACTACCAATCCATGTCTCTATGAGTTTGACTACTGTAGATACCTCATATAAGTGGAATCATACGGTATTTACGCTTTTGGGACTGGCTAATTACACTTAGCAAAATGTCCTCAAGATTTATCATGTCATAGCATGTGTCAGAATTTCCTTCCTTTTTAAGGCTGAATAATATTCCACTGCATGTTTACACCACCTTTTGCTTATCCAGTCATCTGCTGAGGGACACTGGGTTGCTCCCACCTTTTGATTACTGTGAGTAGCGCTGCTGTGAACATGGCACTACCTCCCTCCCTGTGTTTTTGAGTCACTCTTTTACTTCCTGAGGTAGAGGAACTGGAGTGGCCCCAAAGGCACACAAGGAAGAGGGTCAAAGGGAAGAAAATCAGTCCAATGAGGCCTGGGTAAAGGAGCGATAGAGAAGTTTTAGGAGTGACAACTACTCTTCTCAATTGTATAAAGAGTTTCCAATGAGAAGGATTTTGAGCAGCTATGTTTTTATGACCATAGAGTGCCAGGGAAGAGAAAATGAGCTTAAACGAAGGCAGAGGAGATTCTGTTTGGAGCTGGGAAAATAACTGTTGATGTGATTAACCCTCAGAGTGAACAATGGAGGGAAGCTGTAGAATCTTTACTCTGGATAACCATATATTCTAGATGGGTTAGACATTTATGAGGTTTATTGGTCAGGGTCCCAACAGGAGATAGGACTTAATTACAAAGGAGCTGTTTATATAGGTGTGGGTGGGATATAGCAGAACCAAGAGAGATGGTGTAGTTACCTAGGGTTGGTATCAGAAGAGCTATTAGCACCTCTAAGGGTGAAGGGACAAGAGGGAAATGGTACCCAGACCTGGAAGGAGCACGGCATACAGCGGATGCAGCCAGCCCGAAGAAATCTTGTAAGAAGGGAGCCAAGGGAATAAATACCTCACCTCACACTCCACACCACCATCTCGTGTCTCCTATCAGTCACACCACCCAGAAGGGGAGACAAGGAGCCTATTCACATCTTCTGCCCGGGGGAGCCCCTGGGGCAGAGAGAAGGGTAGAAAGGTGAGGAGGGGCGCTGGGAGGATACCCCACATACCCAGGAAGGTTCGTTTCTGAAGGGATCTTCCAGTTCTGGGTTTCTTGGATTTTTCCGGGACACAAACTATTTGGAGTCTTTTAAAACCTTGCTACATCTTCCCAAATTTGAAGTATAGGCATCTGCATCTAATATCTAAACACTGAAGAAATAATAACCGACAATAATGATGAGAGGCTGAGGAAAAGAGATCCTGGCAGGGGATCCTGGAACTATTTGAGCAACAAAATCAGTAATGATAGATTATAACCCATAGAATAAACTAAACATTCATGAGTCCACACTGATACAAATAAATAAACCAATAAATAAGTGGAGGAGGGGACAGGTCTCCCTTACAGAAGATGAATTCCAATTATTAAACGTAGAAGGAATAGGGAAATGGAAAATCACCATCAGTACCCCACAGCAGTAATTGTTCAGGCAAGATCCACCAATGGATGCTGGAATTAATGGGCAAAAGTTTGAGGAGAATCAGGATATTTGCATAGTTCAAAGTATCGCCCTCAAGATATTCATTAATTACAAAGGAAAAACAGTAACCTTATAAGTAGAGACAGTTGGCAGACCCCACCTTCACCTGGGGTCAAAATTAGCATCACCAGTGATAAGTCATATCCACGTCTTTTGGTGGAAATAAGCACTCATTCTCTTGGGTGTAAATTATACCTTGGAGTGTAACTGCTGGGTCATGGGTTAGCCCACTCTTACTTTATCAGAAGCTGCCAAACTGTTTTCCAAAGTGACTGTACAATGTTATATTTGCTTCTGTAGCACACGAGAATTCCAGCAGCTTCACATTCTGGCCAACACTTGGTATTGTCCGTTTTCTTAGTCATTCTAGTAGGTGTGTTGTGGGATCTCACTGGGATTTGAATTTGCATTTCCCTGACGACTAATGATGTTGAGTATCTTCTCATGTGCCTATTGACCATTTAGATAGCTTCTTTTGTGAAGTGTCTGTCCAAATTTTTTGCCAATTTCCTTCCTTCCTTCCTCCCTCCCTCCCTCCTTCCTTCTCCTCATCATCCTCGTCCTCCTCCTCCCTTCCTCCCTTTCTCTCTCTTTCTCTTTCTTACTAAAATTGGGCTGTTTCTCCATCATACTGATTTATAGAAGTTTCTCTTCTGGATGCAGTACTTTGCCAGATCTAGAAATCAATTTGTGAACATTTTACCCCAGTCCGTGGCTGGCTTTTTCACTTTCTTGATGGTGTCTTTTGATGAACAGTTTTAAAATTTGATAAAGTCCAACTTACATATTTTTTATGTTATGGTTAGTGATTTTTGTGTCCTAAGAAATCTTTGTCACCTCAGTGTCACGAAGAATTATCCTATGTTTTCTCCTAGAAGCTTCAGCACTTTAGCTTTCACATTTAGACTTATGGTCCATTGCAAATTAAATTTTATGTGTGGCATAAGATACTGGTTGAGGATCATATTTTTTCCCCCAATCTGGATATTCAGTGCTCCAGGATCACTTATTGAAAAGACGTTTCTTTCCCTACTGAATTGCATTGGCACTTCTGTCAAATATCTTGTATGATGCTATATGTGTATTTACAGAATTTCTGTTCAGTTCCTTTTATCTCCAGGGTGTCCTCAGTGTCCAGACACATAGGATAAAATTATTTTTTTTAAATAAACCTTATTTTTTAGAACAATTTCAGATTTACAGAAAAATGCAAAGACATTAGAGAGAGTTCCTACCTACCCTGCACCCAGTTTCCCCTATTATAAACACCTTACACTAGTATGGTACA